TAGGTTAATAACTTGAAGTTGAACATGTCTCGCTATCTGAGGTCAAATGTCTAAATATCTGACCAAATAAAGTGATGTTAGAGGTAGTCAAGTTGAATTGTGCGAGTTTAAATGATAGTTCTGTTTTGGTGGCATTTCTTAAAAGCTTTCCTGTAATACTCACTTTTATTGGAGTGGAACAGCGTGTCTAAGGACCTACTAACTGGCGTAATTAGGGATGGACAATAATTCGATATCTATATAAATCGCAGTAAATTTTTGTCAATAATGGTGATATATAAATATATACACACACACACACACACACACACACACACACACACACACACACACACACACATATATATATATATATACATATACACACACACACATACACACAGTTAAAGTCAGAATTATTAGCCCCCTTTTGATTTTTTTTTTTTTCCTTTTTTAAATATTTCCCAAATGATGTTTAACAGAGCAAGGAAATATTCACAGTATGTCTGATAATATTTTTTCTTCTGAAGAAAGTCTTATTTGCTTTTTTTCGGCAAGAATAAAAGCAGTTTTACATTTTTTAAAGCCATTTTTGGGACAAAATTATTAGCCTCTTTAAGCTCATTTTTTTTTCCGATAGTCTACAGAACAAACCATCATTATACAATAACTTGCCTAATTACCCTAACCTGCCTAGTTCACCTTATTAACCAAGTTAAGCCTTTAAATGTCACTTTAAGCTGTATAGAAGTGTCTTGAAAAATATGAAGTAAAAAATTATTTACTGTCATCATGGCAAAGATAAAATAAATCAGTTATTAGAAATAGGTTTTTAAAACTATTATGCTTAGAAATGTGCCGAAACAATCTTCCCTCCATTAAACACAAATTGGGGAAAAAAAATAAACAGGGGCGCTAATAATTCAGGGGGGCTAAAAATTCTGACTTCAACTGTGTGTATACACACACACACACACACACACACACATATACATATATATATATATATATATATATATATGTGTGTGTGGGTGGGTGTGTGTGTATATATATATATATACATATACATATATATATATATATATATATATATATATATATATATATATATATATATATATATATATATACACACACCCACCCACACACATATATATATATATGTGTGGGTGGGTGTGTGTGTGTATATATATATATATATAAAGTAACTTATATATTATCTGTTGTCCCTAAATGAGGTTCAGTGCTCAACCATCAGAAAGAGTATGACGTCACTTGCGTGATGACGAACATCACAGACACGCGCTTCCAGCACGCAGTTGGTTAAGCTCCATCGCAGAAAGTTTGCCCTGAAGTGTGCTCTGAATTTAGATATAATTGAACAAGCTTCCACAAGTAAGAATGCAGATGAAATAGTTGATAAGAGAAGAATGCAGTGGTGCAGTGGTGTGGAAGTAGTTTGACTTTTTAAGTTCCGTTAAACATATAGGTTTGATGCTCTGCAAAATGTGTCGGAGACTGGTGCCGACTAGCATCGGGGACACATCAAATCTCTTCCATTATTTGAAGCAGTTCTGCCCGATAAAATATACTGAGAGTCAGAAGATGAGGCATCGTAAAAGTTTAAGCCATCCTCCTCGACAACAAAACCAGCAGTGTCATAAGAAAAAGGCAATGAAGCAAACACAGATGCTATGAGGCACTGTGTAGGATTTAAATCAAACTTCACTTATCAACACACACATAAAACACGTAATGTGCATATACACCTATACTACTGAATGTTCAAAACATGTTTGAAACTTGTGCATATACAAATTAACTTGATGAATGCATACACCCACATACATATAAACCCGATTCTTGCATATAATAGATCCTCTTATAAACACCCAAATTAACACTCACATTATACACATAAACCATTGAAATAAACTCGCTGCATGCTGGCATATAGCACTAAAATTCAATATTCAAATAAATATTTAGTAAAATTTTATAATAAGGTTAATTAGTTAATGCATTTACTAACATGAACTAATCATAAACAACACATGTACAGCATTTATTAATCATAATTGAACATTTACTAATGCATTATTAACATCTAAGTCCATGCTTGTTAACATTAATGCACCGAGTTAACATGAACTACTGTATTTTTATTAACTAACGTTAACTACCATGAACAAATATAGTAGTAAATGTATTGTTCAATGTTTGTTCATGTTAGTAAATGCATTAATTAACACTAACTAATGAATCTTATTGTAAAGTGTGACTAAATATTTTATGTTAAATCTTTTAATTTAATTAGGTAATAATACATAAGGTAATTATGTATATAATTCCACATGTGGTAATTCATAGTTTTGATGCCTTCAGTGTGAATCTACAAATTTTCATAGTCATGAAAACAAAGAAAACTCGTTGAATGAGAAGATGCGTCCAAACCTTTGGTATGTACTGTACGTTGTAAAAAGCGTGATAGAAATAAAAGATAAATAAAACTCACAGAAGTTGTGTAATAAATAAGGTGATGCATTCAAAAGCAGTGGTTTAATACAACAGTTATATTATATTAAACTCTTAAACATAAGTTTACATAAGACTCGAAATAGAAAGTACAAACAGTTAACATTAAGACAAGTACAAAGTCACATATTATCAGCTTCTATGATTTTAACACGGGGGAAAAAAAACAAGAAATTGAGACAGGCTGCAACTTTTTAACCCCCCCAATTCAACTGTTGTTGTTGGAGACTGACAGAACATTGACAGAAAACGATGATTCAATAGATACAGTATCAATTAAATGGAGCTGTACAGTATTCAACATATCTTATACACATCAAGCAGTATCACTCACATTATTTTTCACATATCTTAAAAATATATTTTCTTTGATATGTACATCAATGCTCAAAAAGGTCGTTCGTCATATTCATAGCCGTGTTTCCAGGAGCATCATGCGGAGCTTTAAATGATTACTTTTTGTTTTCCTTTACTGGATTGTCTGTTCCAGTTATAGTTTAATTACAAATGAAAGCACATTAACAGATGTCTACACAAAATAACACATATCACTACGTTTTCCAGTTAAATATTACTCAAAAAAAAAAAGTAAAAAAAAAAAACACTTCAGTAAGCCAATCTCCTGAAAACAGAAATGTCCAGGTCATAGTTTACCCCAATATCTCATTTAATAAATAAATAAATACACATTTTGCATAAACAATTGATGTTTGTTTGGACCATTAAGGCCATTTTTGCATTGTTTTAAATATTAAATAATTGTATCCTAATATTAAGTCCTAAAATAGACTACAGTAACTACATTTGATTTGATTAATAAATCAAATTATATATATATATATATATATATATATATATATATATATATATATATATATATATATATATATATATATATATATGAGCAGTATCCCACAAGTAGCAGTGCGATATGGCTGTATATCGGCACTGGTGGGAGGCATGCGTTGGCTTGAGGCCGCAGGCCAAGTGCCTTAGTGCCCCAACCAGTGCCGATATACAGCCATATTGCACTGCTACAAGTGTGATATTGCATTTATACAACAGTTTGACGGCATAATTGAGCATATAAAAACAAAATCAAACATGGAGAATCTCAAAAACTTTTTTGTATGAGGAACTACTTTCTTCAGCGTTGGATTCAAATCATAAGCTGACAGTTAAACAGCTGAGCAAGCATTTTTTTTAAACTTTAGGTCTGTAGTGTCTGCTTTTTGCTGGCTGTATGTGGGCGGAGTAATACACAAAAGATAAAGAGGCTGTACCGGTGTTGATATTACTTAAATATATCACGGCTATCAGCCAATCAGATTCGAGAACCAGACAGAACTGTTGTACAAAAATATTTTTATATCTGTCTGGTTCTCGAATCTGATTGGCAAGATCTAAAGATCTAAACAAGATCTAAAGTTTAAAAAAAATGCTTGCTCAGCTGTTTAACTGTCAGCTTATGATTTGAATCCAACGCAGAAGAAAGTAGTTCCTCATACAAAAGGGTTTTTAAGAATCTCCATGTTTGATTTTGTTTTTATATACGCAATTATGCTGTCAAACTGCTGTATGAACGCAATATCACACTCCTAGCAGTGCGATATGGCTGTATATCGGCACTGGTGGGGGCACTAAGTAAGGCACTCGGCCGCATATATATATATATATATACACACACACACACATATATGCGGCTGAGTGCCTTACTTAGTGCCCCCACCAGAGCCAAATATGTATATATATGTATATATATATATGTATATATATGTATGTATATATATATATGTAAGTGTAATAGATATGATTAAATGCAACTTCAAAATGACCTCAGATTTTATAATAATAATAATAATAATAAATAATAATAATTTGAAAAATAGTGATGATGATGATGTTTTCCTTTAATAATTGATGATGTTTGGCTTTCCAGTTTTTCTTTTTTGCTCTCTACATGCTTTCTCCTTAAGGCAGTTATATTGATTATATATTGCAGCCTCACTGAAAGAGATCAAGATAAATTCAAGAAACAAGCAGCAAGTCATAAAGTCAGTGAACTGACCGACACTCCAGGCGCTGTGAAGAACCCAGCACTGTGAATTCAGCCCAGAGATGAATGTACTTCAGCAGAGGCTAACACTCCATCTCTGAAGATACACGTGAGCTACTGTCAAAAAAAGAGGAGAGTGTGAGTAGCAAAGATACTCAGTCAGTCAGCCACATATGCTTGGATCAGAGACAAAAAGCACTTAAAGCACATCTGGCCACAAATGGCCTGTGTGTGTGGCTCTTCTGATCAAAGCCTGGCTTAACAAGATCATGGACTAGAAAATGACAGTTCACAGAGCTGTGAGGAAAGCCAAAAACCTGACTCCAAGTCTTGTGTTGTGTAGTGTGTATCAACTCTGGATGTTTTCCGGCACTGTCAGACGCCTAGCGTCATGTTCCTCAAGATCCACTGCTGTGAGCGCCTGCCGCTACAGTCTTTGAGAGTGGGAACCATCTTATCCTCTTCAGAAGGCATGTCCAGACACTGGTTACTGTTCACATGGAGCAGAGTCAGACGCTGTGGGGACAAAGAGTTATAGGAAGATGAAACACAAGCAAACACTGATTTCTTATTTAACCCTTATGTACTATTGGGGATGTTTTCATCCCAATGACTGTAAAAAATATGGACGACGCGACAGCCCCTTTTCCCATTAAACGCCTTGAGGGCAAAACGCCTGCTTGACGGGCACAAACTGTCGCAAAAGACTGCTGAAATTGGAGCCTTGACATGTGCAGAAGGACTGTCTGATGGAGCCAGAGGAGGAGCCACGAAAATGAGCGGAGTCGAGCTTCCAATCAAACGCTTTATGTAAAATCAACCACGCCCCCCGAACTTCTCAGCATGCGTTTGCTGTCATATCAACACAAACGGATGTAATAACGTTAACAAATATGAGGGTTTTATATATTCAATCGCGCCAGCTCCGGGCCGCAGCGCATAACCTACTCGCGGCGTCGCTGGCTGATTCCGGCTCGCATGCGGCAGCGCCTGCTCGCTCGGCCGCCGCATCTGGCTCGATTGACTCGGGCTGGAATCGGGCAGTGAGTCCAGGCATCCGCAGTAGGTCCAGCAGAGGTAGTCAGTCTGAGCTCTGAGGGGTAAGTCTCCGGCAGGCGAGAATCTAGCCGGAACTGGCCCGAGTGTATTTTGCTATCTGGGTGGTTAGGCGTGTATCAGCAAACTAATAAAGCCCGAAAAAAGCCCTGACCTTAGCGAATAAACAGTGTTCCACCAGGATCATGTATGTCAGAAACTGTAGTTTACTGCTGAACTCATTTAATCATGGTAAAATAACACAGAAATCGAATAATAACACTTCAGCCTCCTGCCGAAGCTCAGACGCGCTGCTTTGAGAAACTGTCAATCACAGCTGTCAATCACGATGACACGCCCAGCATTAAATTACTGCTAAAAACAAACTGTTTACAAAAATGAAGATCTGCACCTATTTCAGCACAATAACCAGTGCCTTAATCGACCAGAACTATCTTTCGGGACATTTTATTGCAAGTGTAATATTTTTTTTTTTATTTGGGCTCAAGTCTCCTTCATTAACACGGAGGAGGTGGGCTTAATGACTTGTACTGCAGCCAGCCCCCAGGGGGCGATCTAACGGCCGAGACCTTCACTCAAACGTAGGCTTGCGGCACACTTGTTTCATCCATTCTGGGGTGATTTTGAGCTTTAATTTGGCCGTAACTTTTTCTTTGTTTCAGCGAGCAGAATGATTTTTGGTGATAAATCTTGGTGCTGTAGTGCTGTCCCAATTCTTAGGGGTAAATTTTGAAGCCCTTCCCCTTAACTCTTGGTTGTAAGGGAAAAGGGAAAGGGGTAGGGGTACAAAAATAGAATTGGGATTGGGCCTTTAACTGATTTTCCTTTTTTTCTTCCTAATTTACCGTTCATGTCTGTTTTTGCCCCATTGACTTCCATTAAAACCACATTTTTTGATTGCAAAACCATGACACCATATAATCAAGCATGTTTGATTGTTGGTGGCTTTCCTTGTTGGGAAGAGATCAAATTAGGGTAAGGTTTTAGGGCGTCCTCACACTATGCACAGATGCCTTTTACAGGGCAAAAGCACACTTGTCCCCCCTCCTGCACTCACATTACATTCGGGCCTGGGCACGATTACATCATCAATGCTGCGCTGTTTAGTAAGTGCTCTGGCTCAGCACAGTGGAGATTTCTTTAGTTATATTGTTATTTTAAACGTGAAGTCTTCAACTTTTGTTTTAAGATTTAAAGGGCTAGCATTGCACCAGACCCCTGTAAGGGGTTTTGTTTGGAAGTGTAGAATCTATATTTTATGCTCATATGCATCACTTTGGTTTTTATTCTACTGTATAAAAGTTATTTACACTTAAATACACAGTATTTTGGATACCCGAGCTGGGTATTGAACATTGGTTCATTTTCATATGGTTCGTATATGACACATGTACAAGTTATAGCTCAAATGAAAGCTCTTGCTGGTGCTTATACAGTTCTAGTGTTCTTTTTACTGAATTATATTCACATATCAAACAGTTGTTGAATGAATCGCGGTGTTTCCATAGTACAGAAGTGAAAACAATACATTTATGATCAATAAGCAGCCCCAGATAGCACAGACAGCTTTCATCTTTTACCTTATGCTGTGCACTTCAGGGCCATTCTCCTCTGTTTCTGAGGTGATGTGCATAAGTAATCCTTTTATATGTCTGATGTGGTCCAAACACAGTGAATTATGTTTGATCAAACAAAAGAATAGTGAAATATGTAAACAAGGTTCGCTGTCTGTGGCTTGTACAGCACCTCTCATCAGTTGGAATACAATAACTTTAGCATAGATTATGGTTGAGACATTTTTCTTTTTTCCTGAGATTACAGACATGTGCAGGAACCACCAAAATTAATTACAGCACGCTAGACCACACAGAACCTAAAAGGTACACTTTCAAATTTGAGTTTATAAAAAATAAAATAAAAAAAGCACCTCTTTTTTTAGGTGTTTATTATAACCTAGACAACATATACAGATATTTTAAACACTTTCAATAGTGTTTTATGAAAATTCAAAGGGTTTTCTTTAAAATGATACCAAATTTTTGCATTTACACCTCTGCATGTGGATTTGGGAAGCTTTTAAATTCGGGTAGGCAAAATCCAGGCGGAAATCCCAAAATAGCAGCAGAGTTTAACTGGTTAAGTTGTTTGATATACAGTGACACACAGTCAAATATTTCGCCGAACAGATCAGCCACTTTTGACGCTCATAAACAGTCATAAAGGGCTGCAGGAATTAGGAGGTTTGCTGAAGGTGCAGCTGTGGTGCAGTGAGGAGTTTGCGTATTTAATAAACTACGATAGTTTGCGTTCATTGAACAGTAAGATTGATTAATAAAATCCATATGAAACAGTCCCTTAAAAGTCATGCTCGCTTTCAGTTTCAGGCTTAGGTGCGTTTTGCACTCACACACAAGTGTACCGCACTGAGCCCGATTCTAAGCACTCAAACTTTTCAAATGATCAGGGAAACAGGCCTAGGCACGGTTCGGATAGCATAGTGTGAGTACGCCCTTATTTTGATGGACAATTTGAGTATCAGTAGACTGTCTGCTTAATATCTGTTGATATGCTTCTTTAACCGACATTTAATTGGCTGTAAGTACATGTCAACTAACACTAACACTGACCCCAACTTAACAGATTATAATCTAATGAGAATTAGGCCCCGTTTACACTAGTGCGTTTTACTTTTAAAACAGCGTTTTAGAATGAAAACGATCCGCGTCCAGACTCGCGTTTTACCCAGCATTTCTGAACTGCTCTCCGTCCACACCAAAACGCTGAAAACGCACATCACGTGACCACACACACACTTTGGCAAGCGCTGCAGCCTGTCTACCCAGATAAGAGCTCTGATGGTCGGACTTCTCATCAAGCATCTCGCGCTGGATCTAATCTCACTATATTTATTAAACGTGATATTTCATTCATCTTGTTGTCTTTATCTAACGACATATTCCCTGACTTTGGTCATTGGAATCTATTACTTGTTCTCAGGTAACGTGTTTTGGCTGAGCGCAAAGATAGGTTAATGATTAATGTAACCACGTAGCCTATTCTGTATATTGACTGATCGCTTGCCTTTATTTCCTATAATGTATAAACTTATTGTATGTTATACTTTTATAATGGCCATTATCGATTATTAAAACTGATATTCAGCAAAAGAGAGGGTGTGTTTCGTATTTTCACTGAAATTGAAAGGAGGCAGTTGTTATCTGCTCCGTTTTGTTATAAATATCCACACAGTGAAGATGACGCTCATGCAGCATGGCGCCTCAACATTTCTGCTGTCTGTTTAGTTGTTAATATTAAAATAAAAATAGGCAGTTCCTTATATCAAGTTTACATTTTATTGTTGAGAAAGTGAAACAACGTAACCAGGGTGATGATAATGAAGTTATAAAGTACACTGTTCCCTGTGAAGATTGACGCGTGTCCTCGGTATGTTTTCAAACTCAAACGCATTAGTGTAAACGGGGCCTTAGTTGCCATGTAGCTGCAATGCACACTCTGGCCTTTTGAGATCTACTACAAGTAACAATCAAAGTTTTGCTCAACTGCATTAGCGATTTCGATTGCATTAATTGTCCAGCCCTGCTATTCAGCTATTTGGATCTTCAGAGTAGTATTCAACACAATCTCCAATGCATCGTGCCATTCAACAGAACTCCAGAAGCAGATAATGTAAGCTGCTGCCCTGCTGAGTCCAGACACCCTTCCAAAAGGCCCAGAGCCTGCGGGTGATTGCTTCTCAACAGCTCTGAATGAAGGTAATCAGTCACTGTCTCACACTGAGAGATAGGTGAAAATATGCACTGTTCTGTCTCTATTCAACTGTAGGCTGCTCAGACTCCTATTTTTTTTTTACAGTTCATAAGGGGGACAGCAAGACGAATGAGTTGGTCGCATTCGGTGTCAAGTTTAGTATGAATCACTGAGCGTGTTGAGCTCATCATGAACAGAAGATAGTTACTATTTGAACACAGGAAGCTCTCACAGCAGGCTGATGCCTACCCTGATGTTACACGGAGCACACTTGCTACAGTGAACAGACCGTGTCAGGTCACGGGTGGCAGGAAAGCCATACTGAGTTCCCCTAAATCAGTAGCTCTTCAGTGCAATGCTGATTGGACATTAATTCATTCATTTGCACTTTTCCATATTCAATGCTTCTGCGACAAAACAGTTTTCCTTTTTTTCTTCTGCTTTTTAGAAAATCACAATACGTTCCATTCCTCACAGACAGATTTACAGTAACTTATTTGATAACCAAGCTCGGAACGTCCTGTAAGAATAAGGCCTAGTTTACACTAATACGTTTGCAGGTTTTAAAACTATTATCAGACATACTGTGAAAATGTCCTTGCTCTGTTAAACATCATTTAGAGCAAGGACATTATCTCTCTCTCTCTCTCTCTCTCTCTCTCTCTCTCTCTCTCTCTCTCTCTCTCTATATA